CACACACACATACGCACACACATATCCTTATACACGTGTGTACTTAACAGTGCGCTCACTCTCTCAAGTGCCCAGCCGTTACAAACATTTACAATAAGCACTCGACCCAGTGCAATAATTCTAGAATTTTAAAGAGGTGTATAAAGAGGAGTTGTAGTATACTTCTAGTTTATCACGGAGTGAACCAGGGACTAAATGAGGCAAAGGTGCTTAGGACGGTCACATGGGAAATAGAGAAATGGGACCGGGAGTATGTTGGGTGTTCTCATCGTCGGTTACCGCATCATCCATTGACTTTTTCATCGATCTGACGTCGTGTTTGCTTATACATAATTTGAGGAAAAGCTGATCTGCACAAAAATGACTAGAATGTATTTATTAGAGCTTGCCGTGGTCTCAGTCATAAGGAAATGTTAACCATATTACGTCCTTTAGGAAAAGCAACTTGCGGAAGAGCGAAGAGGAAAGAGACATGTGGCTAGTCGTCTCCCCTTGGACTGTCACTTTTCACACGGCTGCCACGCCGTGGTACTGACGAGCCACGGAAAAAATGCAGAGACGAGACCTAACGGGACATCCCGAAAATGCTAATAAGGCGAAAATACACAAAGACGAGATCTAAAGGGGCCTTCCGAAAATGCTAATCAGCAGATGTTATCAATAAACGATTGCGGGATTACAGCTGCAGTGTCTTTTAATGCTTCTAGTCACTTATAGATTTCTTTTTTAGAAGATGAACAGATAAAGGGCATTCATGCTTTGCTGAATCTGACCCCCCCTTTTTTTTTTACCTGGCCAACGGCGGGAACATCGAAGATAGTTAATGATCTTAGGTAAGTGCGCAGGTAAAAGATCGATTTTTTTTCTTCTTTAATTATTCTTTTGATCTGTAGTCTATATGTGAGTGCTCTGCTGATGAATGGATGATGCACACCTGACACGGTCGCAGTGTCCTCAGGCGTGAATAATTACAAAATAAAAATTTAATAATATGCAACTATATCAAAAGCAAATGGTGTCAGTGGTTAGATGTGTATATTATGACATTTATAACATGCATGGTTAGCGAAAGAGAAAACAGACATACCTCTCTGGGGGTTTGTCAGTCATCTTTGGGATCATGTCGTTTGTTGCATCTCGGTACGACAAGAGAACACTGAAGCTAATTTGACCGATTGAAGAAATCCTTTCATCATCACTTGACAACGCCTTGAGGTGGCTGTAGCGGTCTCGCATCTGCACTCTTAAAACGATGGTGTGGCTCACACTTTGATGTGGAAGTGTATTACACAACGCTACAAGCACTAGCCGAGTAAGCTCCTCACATCACCGTCACAAAACATAGAGCTATAGAGCACACTAACTTTGCCGTCTTTTTAATGAGGGAACACTGCCTACCATAATATACTACTGTTGCACGCCACACGTCCTTACGGCCATGTGCTTCACATGATGACGCGTTGAATCACGGTGGGCGCCAGCAATGTGGTATCCAGTTAGATGACGACTCGGGAGACATTTTTTTATGTCCGCTGCCTGTTGTGAGCCCGCAGTGGTTGATTAAAACGTGTCATTTTTTAAACTGTTGGCAGCATCGTTAAGAAGATGACACATGGTGTCGCGGGGTCATGTGACACGCTATCTTCTGTCTGATAATACAGCGGGCTGTGGGGCTGACTACGTTATCTTGCTGCTACTGGCGTCCTGTGCTTGGATATCTCAAGTAGATCTGACCTAAAGAAGAAAAAAACAGGATAAAAACCACTCTGTCAACGAATCGTTGGTGTTGCTGCCTTGACTTGGACCAGCTTTCCCGTTTGTCTAGCGTGCAGTGTGTCTGTGTGTCCTGTTCCGGCACTAGTGTTGTAAATGTGTAGGAAGTCATGTGCCGGCACATGTACTACACACTTCACACGGCTGTCAACGAGGACGTACTGTTTTCTCTGTGGTTCTAGTTGGTGTCGTTTGCTCTTCATTTTGGAGGTGTTTGGATAATTCCTTATGTAGCTTACTGTTATTGTAGTGACGCTGTCATCAGTTGTGGGAGCAACTAGGACATTCCCGGTAAGCCCCGCCTCGGATCATTTATCTGACAAGTGCAGCGGTTTGTGACTAATTCACGCTTGGTGGTCGTTGGACCCATTATAATCAGCATTCGCAGGGTTCCACTGCGGCTGCAAGTTTTCAGTGCCTCTTGGCGTTCCTCCTTGGGGGGATTTCGATTGAATTGCTACCCTGTTTTTGGAAATTTTGTAACAAATGAATTAGCCCCGACCGCGCCAATGACAGAAAAATTTGCCACTATGGATGTAGAGGAACTGGCGAATTCGCCGTACTACCAAGAGCGTTTCATCAAGTCCAAGATCAAAGCTCTCATTGGTATGTGATACTTGCTGTCTATTATCTTTGCTAGTGTTAAGATTTTCTTATTTGCCGTGTTGAGGCTGCTCCAATATGTCCTTGAATCCTTTCTGTGTCCGGTTCTTGACGAGCACTTGAACTTCTTAACGACTCTCTAAAGTCGCTTGTTTGCTCCTCTATTGAGCGTGGGGTCGGGCCATTAGCTATGCCATTTCGCCGAAAAATTGGGTGAGGGATTTAAGGCCTTGCGCATTGTTAAAAAGTTGAAGCATGATGATGAAACCATGCTTGTCGAGCTCAAAACTCACCAAACAAAACGTTGCATCAATAGATTCAACTCTAACCCCCCCCCCCCCCCCCCCCCCTTTTTTTTTGAGAGGCGTTATATTTATTGCTAGTATGTTGTCTACTTCCGCATTTGTTGTCCTCAGGGATGTAGTGTATGTACGCATTTGTTGTTTTCTCACGCCCACACACAGACATACGCTCGCTTACACAAATATGCCCCCACCCCACACACGAATACACACGCACACACA